CGGTGATTCCATTTGCTGTCTGAAATGATATGGGCTCTGGAGTCACGAGTGTCTCGAGACTATGCTTCTCGATCTTCTTCTGAGATATGAGGTCGTGGCCACACCCAGTGTCCATGAGAAACTTGATCTTCTTCTTGAGGATGACTGGTTGAACCATGCATTTGCATACACCTTGATTGATGATCCGCTTGCTGTGCGCAGCATCGAGTTCACGCTCAACGATGGAATCCTCACCGTCGTAGAAGGAGACTTCCTCCACCCGAGACGTTCCTGGGATTCGCACGAATGAAACTCGATCTCCACATTGATCATCATCGTCGTCAACCATGTCTCTCATAATCTGTGCCCTCAATCTCGCTTTGTGCTTGGCGAATTCCAAATTCACGGCGCGATCCTCATCGTTAACAAGCGCTTCCATGTCGACGTACTTCACCTTCCGCTCTTTGTCCTTCTTCGATCTTCTAGGACACGAAGAAATGAACTTCACGTCATCGGCGAATGTCACATTACGCTTGATCCCTTTTCGGGTCGACGTAGTCGGTCCCGAGGATTCGTCGTCTGTTGAACAATCCGAATCAGCGTCGCTGTCAACGGATGGACAATCTGACTCCTCCTCATCTTGTCTTGAAGATCGCTTCCATATCGCCGGAGCTGATGGATTCCACCTTCGGCACAATCTGATGGCGGGTGCCGCAGGGAGCGCCTTGGCCTTGGCATTCGGCTTCGCTGGAGCTGCCTTCGCTTCGGATTTGGCTTTAGCCTTTGCCTTTGGTTCCGGAGCTGGGGTAGCTGCTGCCTCATGCTTGAAAGGGCAATTCTCTCTTGAACACGAGCCTGTGTTCTTGAACGAGTAGCATATCCTGTTTCCTCCTCCTCCAGATGGACTTGGAGTTCTCGTCCTCGGCGTAAAGGGTCGCTCTGGAGTCTTCTTCGAGTGACTGAATGGGCACTTGTCACCATTTCGACACCCTGCATCTGTGAAATGGAACTTGCAGCGGATTTGCTTCTTGCTCTTGTCACCTCTGTTGTCCGCTGACTCACTCCTCGTCTTCTTCTTGGGTTTTGGCTTGGTTTTCGCATGACTCTTCGCTTTGCTTTGAGGTAGTACAGGTGTTGCTTTATCCGGCTTGGTCGGCGAAGCCTTGACCTTTGCGGATGGAGCTGCGTTAGGCGTTGGTTTCTCAGGTACCTTGGCCGGTGCAGCAAGCAAATCCTTGCCCTCAAGCATCTGGCGCAAGCCAATTTGGGTCTGAGTGAGATTTGATTGTTCTCGTCTCCGCATGATGGTACGGTCAATGATCTTCATCAAATTGTCGTACGATCGGTCTTCATGATTGTAGGGCAAGTGTTCGTAGTGCATGCCCAACTCCATCTTCATTGCGGGCGAGTCCTTGATCTTGCTGTACAAGCAATCACGGAGAGCTGTTTTGGATGGTATGTCTTCTGGCCTCATCCGTCCCAGAACTTCCAACCACGTCTGCTTGAACGTATGAAGCTTGTTGTCGCCTTGGTACTGGAGCTTCACCAGATACTCGAGAGTGATGATCATGTCGAGACGATCATGCGTTCGAAAGCTTTCATACATCATCGCAATGATTTGTCGTCCTTTGATGATCTTCCCTTCGGGCCTGCTGATGTAATCGTTGGCCTTCCGGTTCACCTCCAGGTACAGGTCAGCAGATTTGTCACCACCAGCACGTAGCATTGCGACCATTGCGATCCCCAATTTGACGTCTACGCTCTTAAACTTCTTGTGTCCTGAATCGTTCAGTGCTTCGACATCAGGGAATGGGTTGAATGCTGGTGCCAGCCATAACATCCAGTCCTCATGATTTGGATCGGCTGATGCTCCTAAGACATTCGCCGTGCATACGGATCGCCAGTTGTTGAGGTGAGTGAGAGTAGGCCATGGAGGTACGGTCACTTTGTCGGCCTCCCTCCTGGAAATTCTCACTTCCGTGACTTCAGGATCTGCGTCTCCATCAGGATCACGCGCATGAGATCCAGGATCCGATTCAGGTTTGCCTCCACCGCTTTTCTTCTTATCATCATCATCATCAGGCGGGTCAGGAGGGTCATACCCCGTGCCGGTTCCTTCATCGTGCTCTCCATCTTCGTTCTCGTCGCCAGCCTCGTCACCGTCATCGTCTCCATTATCCTCCTGAATCGTTTCAGCGAATAATCTCCACTCATCACGATCAGCTCTGAGACGTTGTTCGGCTTTCTGGGCCTTGAGTACTTCGCTTCGCAGATCGGCAATCTTCTCCTCGTACCGTTCCGCGACCTCTTTCTCGATCTGACGTCTCCTTGCTTCATGAATGGAATCGTCATAGGCAATAGGGGGACCGATGAGGTCGTTGCCCTTCGTAGATGCGGTGATACCGTCGACACCAACAGGTCTTGAGGAGCTGGCAGATGCTGTGGACTTCGATCCCAACATCCCGCGATCCTCCAAGAGTTCGCGTAGCTGTCGATCACGCACGGCTGCCGCATCACTTTTCCCATGAAATCCGCTTGGTATGCCGAACAAAGTGGCTGCACTAGGCGTGGAACGCGCAAGTGCTGGGCTGCTAATACCTGGCACGTAGTGCTCGGGCATTGCATCCGCCACGATTGGCATTGAATTGCGGCCAGTGAAGAAGTTTCCACCGGTGAATGGAATTCCATCCATCACAAGGTTCTTGTCCTTGTCCGATTCCGAGAATGCGAACTTCTCTTTGGCGACTGGACTAACTTGACTTGGGGACCGTATTTCAGGGGATCGTACCTCACCTCCTACGGAAAATGCAGGCACTACTTCCTTTCCTACGTGCTCCCAGCCAGACTCAGTAGTCCTCGAAGACATGGGCATGCTTGAAGGCCGTGTCGCTCCTCCGTAATTGGAGTTTCGCGCTGCCTCCAATTCGCTGCGTGTCCTCGCTTGAAGATCTTCTTGTGCTTTGAGCGTTTTCCTGAGTTCACTCAGCTCGTCGTGCAAGGTAGGCAATGCACGCCTTGCATGATCTTCATTCTGATGAAGTCGGTCCTCTGCATCTTGCATCCTCTTCACAGCCATTTTGCGGTACTCTTCTTCTTCGCCAAGACGTTCGCGAAGCCGAAATCGTTCTTGATCAATGGCTGCGCTGTTTCCAGCTAGCCCTTGGATCTCGTTCACGGCCCGCAACTCCTGGTTCTTGACCAAGTGGAATCGTTCCTGCATTGCTTGTAAGGCTTGTTCCGAACTTGCTGTGTTTGACCGGAGGACCAAGTTCTCTCTGGCATGTTCATGAAGTTCATGAGTCAGACGCTCATACTCACGTGCCATAAGCTCACCATCGCCTTGCGCTCTTGCCTCCAACTGCACAAAGTTAGTGGCTGCCTCCGTGCGGAACACGTGTAGCTGTTGAGCTAACTCCTCGGCAACGGCATGTGCTTGACGTTGTTGAGCAGAGTTCTGTTCATCCATGCGAAACAAAGCTGTTTCATAGTCTCGCTTCATCTCCTGATTGACATTGTTGATGTGCCTCATGGCTAAGCATGCATGGTCACGTTGTCGTTCCAATTCTTCAATGCGAATTCCAGATCCTTCATCTTCTTGTTGCATCTCCTTGATCTTGTCCATCAGGGTCTGAACAACTCCTTCGTATTCTTGCATCTGACTGCGATAGTACATCTGCTGCGCAAGGTTAGATGCTTCGAGCTGTTGCGAAATCGTCAGTTCCTGATAGGCATTCGGACCATCGGCTATGGCTGGCGTGGTCACCGATGACGCATCGCCACGTGCTGGGATAGTGTCCAGAGTCATATCCAGATCGTCAGCATCACGTGGTTGATTGGTAACCATCCGATTCCAAGTCATGGATTTGTCACGCCCACGAGTAGCCGAAGTCCTCGATCGTGCTGAAGAGCTTCTCGAAGATGATGGTCTTGACTTCTTTTCCAAGGTCTTCACTCCTTTGTCCTTGGCCCTGGACGTAGTCCGAGGTGCCTGAAAACCAGACGCTTCGGCTCGTCGTTCGGGAGCCTTGCCCGTCCTCGAACCTGTGGATGTCGGACGCGAAGGCGTAGATGCTCTTGGTAGACTCTTTGCTTTCACCTTGGGAACTGCCTTTGCAATGGCAAGCGCAGAAGATTGACCTTTGTCATCTTCCGTGGAGCTATCAACGGATTGCACCACTGTGTCATCAGCTGTTGACTCACCAACGGCTGGCGCTGCCACATCGGCACCGAAAGTCATTGTCGTATCTTGGCTTGATCCCGAGTTCATTGTGGTCGTAGTAGATCAAGTAGTCGTTGCTGTAGAAAGGCAGAGCCGCGTACGGCTGATAACCTGCGTGGGGGATTGATCTCGACTAGGTTGCTGCTCTCCCCACCAGAGCTGTAATGAATGTAGGTGTGGTTGGCTTGCACTCTCCACAGACTGGACCCTGTCTCTCTTACACTTCCACGCGTGCAATCCTATGCAGGCAGAACCGGCGGCCGTTCCTTTTGCACTCACTGCCGGCGGCGGTTCGTCTGTGCAACGGGATAGCTCTGATTGCTCAGGATAGAAGACGCTTATAGCACTTAGCTATGGGCATTGACTTGAGCCAAACGTTGCGTGGGCGGTCACATAGAAAGGTAAAGATGAGGGACGCGTAGCGTGCCCCCTTAGAGTCGAGGGACGCGTAGCGTGCCCCCTCCTCTTGCACTTTACACAGTCTTGCTCACAGCTCTTATAGTGACACCTTAGAACTTGACAAGGCATCGCAGTCCGTTCGCATATAACCTACTTACTAAGTCCCCTGCCCTTCCAAGGAAGGCAAAAGAAACCTTGACCCTACCCGCTTAAGCGAAGACCCGCACCCTAAACAAAACCCTAAACCCCCCAAACCGTAAATTAAAGCCCGAAACCCTAAACCCCTCAAATCCCCAAAACCCTAAACCCTAAACTCTAAAAAAACCCTAAATACCCTAAATAACCTAAATGCCCTAAACCCCCTAGACCCCTAAACTCCTCAACCCCAAATCCACACAGCTGCCTCCATCATCTCACTGCCCAGGTCGCTCTGCGCCGCTACTGACTCTGTGGCCGCCGAACCGACCACTGTGGTGCCTGGAAGAGACGAGCTTAGGGCCTTGGGGTTTAGGTTCGGGTTGAGGAGTTTAGGGTTTGGGAGTTTAGGAGTTTAGGGCTTAGGGGTTTAGGGTTTGGGAGTTTAGGGTTTAGGGTTCTCTTTTTTGGGGTTTGGGGCCCCGCCTGCGGTTTTCTCGAGTGCGGCATTTGTGACTGATTTGGCCTAAACCATGAAATTTCAGCTTCGAGTTCGTTGTGTCTCGAACGGCTCCGCCGGCACATGGCTGCTTCAAGTACGCTCGCTTCCCTCAAAACCCGCCCGCCTGGTGTCGCAGCCACGGAAACCTCGTTACAGGCGGGTGTGAGGAGTGTTTGCTCTAGACCCATCCTCAACGAACATGAACATGGCGATGCCTACAACACATCCGGCTTGTGACAAACTTCAGACTCCAAACTTCCTGAATCCTTGTGTTAACGGCCCAGTCACGATGTCGGCTCCTCTCACGGAGGATGCGGCACCCTCTGCCACAGAGCCACCGATGGAGGCCTCCAGGGACATTAGCTGCGCGCGAAGCGTGCACGGCGACAGAAGGATGATCTGCATTCTACAGCACATGTTGGGAGTCGCCTGAACTCTGCAAGCCATATCAAAAAGGCTGAATGCCAAGCCCGACGGAAGAACCCAGAAGGAGAGCAAAAAGGAGACTTTGAAGTTGAACAACAATGACAACGTTGGGAACAGCAACTGCAACAGCAAGAACAACAACAGCAGTACCATTAGACATATTTATGCCGACAACGACTGCAACAAGGCAAAGGAATCCAGTTGACATACAACCAGTAGAACCCGGTGGCTGATGTCACAAGTCATTAACGACAACTCCAGAAGGCCAAAAACGGAACCTTGTCGTCCATGTCTACGTCTGCATTGGACGGGGCCTGGCATTCTGCAGGCCGACATGATCACAGTTCTCTGTGTGTGAGCTCTTGACGCTGGCTTAAACGGAGCACATTAAGGATTGCTTAGGGCAAGAACTAAAGGCATGCCACCCCAGCCAGGAATATGGGAGTTTCCGAAAATTAGGGGCTCCTTATTTGGGGAGTCGTGGGGGGTCCCTATAATTAGGATCCTACTATTTAGGGTACTGTATTAGGGTCCCCCATTTTCGGAAACTCCCATATGCAAGACCTGGCATCCTAGGCTCCGGGTAAAACTTGCCGCCTTCTTCAGCTCGTTCGCCTCCTTCTCCTTGCAAAGCTGCCACTTGGAGGATCATGGGACTTAGTAAGGTTATAAGTACCTTAATTGGGGTTATAAGTAGTTATAAGTAGAGCTACCCTAATTATAACCCTAGTTACTAAGTCACATGATCCTTTAAGTAGGCTAGGTGCGTACGTTGCATGCTTAGGCTTGGAAAATGTCTGATGTTCTCTGCCCCGGTAGGATCTTCATCAAATCAAACTGACAACTACGCCAGTTGAAGCTAAAGCCCTAAACTCCGACCCCTCTAGAGCGCTAAGCCCTAGACCCTAACCCTAAATCACTAAACTCGAAATCCTAACCTCCAATCACCAAACTTCAAGCCCTAACCACCAAATAACTAAACCCTAAATCCTGGCCCCTGCCCCCGAAATCACTAAACAACGAGTGTTAAACCCAACCCCTAAATCACTAAACCTTCACCCGACATAATCGAAACAGAAACCCCCTGCCGTTTCGCACTGAACCAAAAGCTTGGTGGGTGGGACTACTGTAACTGCCATTATTCTTTTGACCATGAACTTCATTGTTACGATGATTATACCAAGCTTTATTGTTAGTATCATTGTTATTATCATTAGTAGTAGTAGTAGTAGTAGTAGTAGTAGTAGTAGTAGTAGTAGTAGTAGTAGTAGTGGTAGTAGTAGTAGTAGTAGTAGTAGTAGTAGTAGTAGTAGTAGTAGTAGTAGTAGTAGTAGTAGTGTAGTAGTGTAGTAGTAGTAGTAGTAGCAGCAGCAGCAGGAGTAGTAGTAGTAGTAGTAGTAGTAGTAGTAGTAGTAGTAGTAGTAGTAGTAGTAGTAGTAGTAGTAGTAGTAATGGTAGTACTAGTAGTAGTTGTCGTTGCTGTAGCGTTAGGAGTATTCTCAATTACTATCACTGCTTCTTCGGGGTCTCGCCTTCTTCTCCTTGAGCTGCTTGGCTTTGGCTGCCGTGGAGAGAACCTTCGCAAGTACAAGTTTAATGTCTATTCTTGGTTTGGTTAGGGTTTAGGGTTTTGGGTTTTGGGTTAGGGTTTAGGTTCAGGGTTTATGATCCAGGCTAGCGAAGGCGGCTCCCAGTTGTCTCACCTTCAGGGTGATATAAGCACCTTAAGAATTAGAAGGGGCTTTAAGTGTATACTCTAGTAGAGGTGTAAGTATAATGAAAAAAGGAATGACAGTATAAGGATGCTATACGGCTACTGATGAGTATGTTATGATACCCTCGTAAGGGCTTTACCAGGCTACTGCGGGCGCACTTTGGGACTCAGGTCGGTTGACAACGAACCAGCTAAATCCAAAAAACCCATTTTTTTTAAACACCTATAAGGCCCTACCTCCTAAGCCCTAAACCCCGAACCCTATAAACCCTATGAACCCTCGTCAAAGCAAGCTGGTATGCTGTCTGCCTTCTGACAACCGTCTCCAGCACGAGAAACCCACTAATCATCTCTAAACCTTAAACCCTAAACCTGACACCCTACACCCTCAACCCTGCAACCCTAAACCCGCGACTCCAGAACCCTGAACCCCTGCACATGCAAGACCTGGGCCCCGCACTGCTGTCGCCGCCTTCGCTGTCTCCTCCTTCTTTGGAGGCTGCATGGGCTCCGGGTACCTCGATTTGGGAGTTTCCGAAAATATGGGGTACCCTATTTAAAGTGCTATTTGGGGTACTATATTAGGGTCCCCTATTTTCGGAAACTCCCATTTAAGGCTCAGGGTTCTCGTGGCCCGTGGCTTTGAGAAGTTCGGCCTAAAGTGGTATAAGACTGATTTGAAAGCATGGAACTTTCGAGCAGACCCGCAAGACAGCAAGCACCTTCAGGTTTAGGGTTCAGGGTTTAGGGTTTGCACAAAAAAACAGAACACCCGATGTACCAGCGGAAGCACCAAGTCTCCTTCACCCCTACGCCCTACACCCTTTAGCCTTTTGCGCTAAACCCTATGATAAGCCCTATACCCAAAACACTAAACCCTAAACGCTTGACGGGGGCACGCGAAGAGCGACGGCCTCGCTCCGCTCCGCACCTGGGCACTGTAGTCGAATGGCTTTATGTCAGGGCCTTAATAATCAGGATAGGGTTTTGGGGGCTCCTTCTTAAAATTCCAGTATCATACACCTAATTCTACTTATTAAGGCCCCTACATTAGGGTTTTTAGGGATTGGGGTTGAGGGGGGGGAGGGCCCCTCTACATCATTCTTCTGATGCCTGCGGAGTCGAAGCTGAAAGCTTGTGAAGTTTCAGCCATGGCGACTTTGGGTGCATAGGGTTTAGATGCAGCTTAAGACTTCCAGCTTGTTTCCGGGGGGGCGATTTGGGTAGAAGGTTTAGGGTTTAGGGTTTCGGGTTTAGGGGACTATCCTGGCCTACAAAAGTCCCCGGAACCGTCTACGGGGGTTGCGCAGTCACTCGTCAGACCTTTCAGCGTGCCGCAGAAAGAGACATGATGGTGACGAGATGACTCTGATTCTGATGACGACCATCACCATGCCATCCTGATGAACATAATCATGATGATCACTGCCATCAACTTTATCTTTCTTGTTTTTGTCGGTGCCATTACCGCCTCGTTTAACGGCTTGAGGGCTGCCAATGCCTTTGGGTTTTCCTTGCCCCCTAGATTCATTCTGCATCTCGTTGTTCCAAAAATCCCAGACTCCTGAAAACCCTTAACCCTAAATCCTGAACCCTAAACCTTAACCTACTTCAACCCCCTCAACCCTAAACCCTAAACCCTAACCCCAAATCTTGAGCTCCTACAGATCCCTAGAGCCCAAACCTTCGAGTAGCCTTGAGCCGAGGAGATCCCCGGTTTACGGCTTACTTAAAGGATCATGGGACTTAGTAACTAGGGTTATAATAAAGGGCTCTTTAAAGGGATCTATAGGGTTCCTTAAAGGGAGTTCTGGAGTTTAGGGTTTAGGGTCTACTTAAAGGATCATGGGACTTAGTAACTAGGGTTATAATTAGGGTAACTCTACTTATAACTACTTATAACTCCAATAAGGTACTTATAACCTTACTTACTAAGTCCCATGATCCTCCAAGTAAGGTTTGGAGTTCTCAGGGCGGAGCGGGAGAATGGGTGGCATAATTAGGGGACCCCTTAGGGGGGGAGGGGGGGGTTAGGGGACTATATTTCCTTAAATAGGCCTTATTAGGTCCTTATTATAGGTATTGCGGCCACCTACCCCCCTCCCCCTACCCCTAAGAGTCCTTGTGACCTTATGACATAATAATCCCTGATGCATTGCTTCCTCCACTCTTCCTTCAGTAGCAGTGGGCTGAGCTGGAAACGGAGAAGTTCTTGGGAATCTTCAGCTTGTCGGTGATGCCTCGCTTTGGTTCGGGGCTTGAGGGCTTTATGTTAGGAATCTGGGCGACTGAGTCTTGAATCTAAGTTTAAGTTGCAAGCTACGGGGTTTGAGGTCTTTGAGCTGTAAGGGTATCGGAGGTGGCGGTTTTGGCTTTGGTGCTCCAGCTTCTCCGGGCACAGTGCTACGGGCTCCCCCGTCCCGTCTTCGTTCTCTGTGACTTGGATCATTCCTTTCCTTCGGTTCATGCAGGCGCCTTAATAATCTGACCAGAGTTGTGGGCCCCAGTATAGTAATCTTATGAATATAGTCGTTGGTACTGGCATGAAGAGGACTATAGGCGGATACTATTTCCAACACTTCCCTCCCCGACATCACGGGCGTCTGGGACCACAGAAGAGCTGAAGAGCGCT